TGGGGGGGGGGGGGGGAGATTATTAAAAGTATTTTTGAGGGCGCAGGTGTGATAATTTACAGGAGTCAACAAAATGTAAGTTTTCACTTGTCTGCCCATGTTTTACGTTCGTCACAGACGACCACATGAGTGGGTTTGTTGAGCCTTGATAATACATATTGGATACTGTTATATTAAGAAGTGATTTTAATTTTAAAAATGTAGAACTTTCTGGTTTTTGCAATTGATATTTAGGACATAATCTCGCAATCATTAGAAATTTAAATTATGATCAGCACCGTTTATCACATTTAGCATTTGAATTTGTTTTATAAGACAGTCTGATTTTTCTGAATTACAATAAATTGCGTCTCGAAATTGATAGGATAGGAGTATTTAAGGAATCAGAAAGAAGAAAATCATTTTCTTTTTAATGTACATTTATTGTACCAAAATGCATTGTATACTGTACAAATCAGTACAAAAATTATATAGATCACAGCCATTTTAAGATCCAGGACATTACAAAGTTGTTTGGCAAGTAATAAAATACGCATGAAGTTCAGACTACACGCGTTGTTATTACAGTGACATAATATTTATCAAACAACAGTATTAACAACAAATTTCATACCATCATTGACGAGTTACAGCGTACAAGTAGCCTATATAAAACAGCACCATCTCGTTCTTATCTTGAAGCCTTGAATTACACTTTCAATTTATTGATGGAAAATCTCATCTACTGACGCTCTAGAGCAGTGATACATAAAAGGAAATATTCTTTGTCACGTTTCACAGCCTTATGAATTCTGCTTACTTTATCTCACGTTTCTTACGTGAAAAAGTTTTAAAATCTACGAAATGTTTCGCGTCTATAAATTGAACGTGCATTATTGTTGCTGTAGGATTCATGGCTTTGTTCCAGTTTCAGCATCGTGTTGTGTGGCTGCGAAACTGTAGTTGTGCTTTTTTTCATTCGAAATTAATTTTAAAACGGTTTTATAATTAACCCTCTTATTTGCAAAAAGTATGTAAGTTATTTCTTTATATTATGCACAAATATTTACACAATTTTACTTGTGTAAGGTTGTCCTGATTATTTTTTGTAGCAAAGAGCAGTACATAATATGGTTAGAAAAGAACATATAAATTGTCTTTTGAGAGATATTTTATTAAGTTTTGTTGTAAAAACGAAACTGGTAATGTCTCAATCTATGTTCTGTGTAAGAATGTTTTAAAGTTACTTAATAAATTCAGGCCCGGTTTGTGCATATCAGAAAATTTTCGACTAATGACGCAGATACCAAACTCTTTTCGCATGAAGGGATGTTGTCTTTGTACAGATGCTTCAGTGTTATTTATGTTTCCAATCCTGGCAGAAGGCCCAATACTAAAAAATTTCGCCAAACACACTAGAAGGCATAAGGGAGTTTCTGTGCCATGACAACACGATGCTTTTCAGCCAGCCTTTTGAGTTTGAGTTTCTGAAACTCAGTTGCTTCAAAACACACACACACACTCACTCACTCTCATACAAACGCATGCTTGTGCATGCAAATACAAAAGACTAGTGGTCTTACAATTACAGATGTAAACACAGATTTACAAATAAATATATTACATTCTAAATAAGTTAATTATGTATTTTATTTTGTGCATTATCTCAACTCAATGAAGCCACATCCAGAAACTTGAAATATAATATATATCTCACGCTGTGAATCTGGCACAAATATGTAATTATGTAACACAAAATGTGTGTCACGTATCCTTGCTTTTTGCTGTTTACAAACCTCTCAAGGACTCAACGTTCTAAGTAGGAATCCCTACTTGACAAGAATCCTGTTTTGTACCATGTTTATTTCATTAAACACTTATTATCATCAGTGGACAGAACTTTACAGTTACTGGGAAATACACGCTCAAGATCATAAGGTATGGAATGTGTTGACCTTACAACAAACATTTAGAACAGAAATGCGTCTTATATTACGCCACTTAATTTTTTTTTCTGTTTACAACGATCTTTAATGGTTTTGTTGTTGTAATAACACCTCTTATTTACATTCAAGCTGTTGTATTATTACAACGGGTAATTCAGAAAGTTTTTAGTTTCCGAAATACTTTAAAATCTAACCATAATAAATATTCTTTTCTGCCAGTATTTCTTAGAAATGGCACTGGGTGTGATGATCTAATTTGAACCGGTCGGAACAATGGTTCTGTCCGTTTCATTTGTGTGACGTTATTGTCCAAAGTTGAAATCGGACTTTTGCGAAAAGCTCATTTTCATAATGTCACAATCATAACCCGTTCATCTGGAATACTGTCTTTCTTATTAATTTATCCAGGCCCAATGTTATATGGGCAGATTAACCCTACATCGTAAACTGCTGTCCATTCGCTGCGAGGCTAAGAATTACATTCTGTTAGATACGTTGCGCCTGTTATATTACCTTTCCTTTAAATACCGGTTTGTGTCATTTCTATCTTCCACATTGAAAATAATTTGAAAGTAATTTGTTGCGTTGGAAAGTGTTAAATAAATTAGGCAGTTGAGTGTATTTTTTGCATTTATGATTACAGTAATTTAACTCAATGTTTTATGTCAAATTGACGAGAGAGAAGTGTTGATTCCCTATCTTTCAGTTATATACTTAACAGAAAAGTCAAAATGCAAATTGGTTTATAATATTCCCTTATAAGTGAGAAATAAATAAAATTAAATGTAGCTGAATAAATTATAATTAAATAGGATATTGAATAAAATTAAAGCTCTTGGAAGATTTACAACTCATAAAGCAAGATCAGTCTGCTTTCTAATTATTCTTCATCCACAACCACCCAGCCTCGCCAGACATTAAGACACTTTGATATGTTTTCAGTATTCTGTCATGCTCAGATATACTACATAAATATAAAGACATTCAAGTATAGGCCGGCCTATTTTATTGGTATTTGTTCATGTTACACCAAGTGACTCCTGTCTTTCAGAGGCTGGGAAGATGTACTCTTTCATCACTCGGCGCTGAAGCGGACCGATTACCTCCATGCCCTCTCTTACCATGACACAAAACCCATCACCGGGAAGAAGAGAGATTTCCTCGTCCGTGGTTTAATGTGACGAAGAGTCAATTCTTCTCACGTTGATCCTCTTCTAGTCATTTAATTTGACAGCAACCCCAGTTTTGGGACTCTTCGCGTTGCCTGTGCCAAGTTTTCATAATTGTGTCACTGGCATTCTTTAAATGTAGGCTAATTCCCACCTGGACTCGGCATCTTCTTCAGATCGCTTACCATCGCCTTGCCAGAACGATGAGAATTATTATGGTGACTCAGTTTAAAATAATGGCAGCTGCGGTGGCAGCGGGGGGACGTCTGTGAATCTCGTGCGTCGTCGGCTGGCACGCCCTTCAGCGAGATAAGGGGAGTAAGGCAGTCAGCAGACCAGCTGACGAATCACGGAACTGCCGTCGGGCATCGCGTAGCAGCGTCGCTGGGACCTGCCGGGCTCTGGTCTAGTCACAGCGAAGCCGTTGCCGTGAAGTTCTGGCGCCGTTTTAGGACTCGGCTGCGGTGTAGGTCGGACTTTTGGCAGACGACCACCGTGCCCCCCTGGGTGTGTTGCTGTGACTGGTTGCTGATGGTCCCGTTTTTACCATTGCTGCCAATTAGAGTACCGATCATCTTTGATACCGAAAATTTGCGGGACTTGTGATGTCCATTGTTCGTGTTTCCTTGGAGGCAACGACACTCATTCACGAGCACTTCAAAAGCTTGGTACAGGTCCGCACTGTTTTCTGCGACGGATACTTCAAAAAATTGGCAACCATTCTGAATTGCTGCAGTACGTCCTTCTAGCTCCTCCACCTGCAGACAATAAATACATATGTAAATGAATAAACAAGTTAAATGTAAAGCCTTGTTCAGTTAAGCTGATATCTTTTAGTGGATTTTTTAAATTGTTTTTTAGACAAAGTCAATTGCAACAAACTTCACATAAAACTAATTTACATGCTTCGTGCGTGTTTCTAAGACCAACGGCTTTTTAATGAACGACAAGTGCAATATCGTTTTGAAGTGTAGCAGGAGAGATTTATTGCAAATGATATTGAAGGGTGAGGTTAAAAGCTACATTTAAATATTTAAACGAAGGTTATTTATCAAGAAAATCTCCCAAAACTTATTTGACCGAATCAAATTAGTTCACGTGCCAGGGTTAGAGCAATTAGGTAATTATTCTTGTGCAACTGCAAAGTTGTTCCATGCTAGTCTATACGCAGAGCAGAGATCCATTTTCTTCAAAGAATGACATCACAAGGAAAGAATCAAATTCAATTGAAGCCTCCAACGCAAGACTAGAAATATGCTTATTACGTTCCGTAATAGTAATTAAATTTAATTAATTTAATAACATGCTTGACACCAAATATCGGAAGCCAATTATAGGAAAGCACTGAAATAAAAAACCCAAATAAAATAGAACAAGACGCGAAAAGGAGGTATAACAAAAGAGCACAAATAATAATAATAATAATAATAACGCACAGAGAAATAAATTGATAAGTTAGTTAGGAGTTAAGTAATAGTTCCGATAGCAATAATTTGTTTGTGAAACTCCTAAGACAAAGCGTCGCTATGGTAACATGTTACTGGCGAGGTAGCTAAGGCTGATAAATTACAAAATGAAAGCGTGTTTCAATAACAACAGTTCACAAGTGAAGTGTTGAAGGTTGACAAAAAAGTTTCAAAATGAAATGTTTTGAAGGAAACTTAATTTCGTGACGGGCAGCTCCTTCCACTCACTGCATGATGGAAGACAACTCACCTCTCGGAGGTGTTCGAGGTCCGCCTTGTTCGCGAGCAACGTGACGGGGACTGCGCTAACTGGACGAAGTTTTTGGAAGTTCTCGAGGGCTTCCATTGCGTACTCGAAGGACTGCTTGTCCGTTATGGAGTACACCACGACACAAGCATCTGCCCATTGCACCTGCTCCAATGGAAACGTCGAATCCCTCTGTGGACAGAATATAAAACATAACATTCGATTAGGTTTCAAAATTATATTGAGATGCTTATAAGAAATGGGTTTTAATGTAACGCTTTGAGACTAGGTTTAGATTTGACAATTTTTTAGAATGGACCTTCTGGTATGCTCCTCGTTCAAAGAAGACAAACCCTTAAAGAATTTCTGGCAGACCAGCGTGCATCGAAAATATATTTTTATTAGCTCAGACCACTTTACGTGATACAGATACTAGTAACTTCTGTCACATGTATTACTTATTAAATGAACCATCTGAGTAACTTTCTGTAATTAATAGTTTAGCGAGGTGGACCAGTAGGGAGAATGTATAATCTTTAATTAAAATGTAGCTTCAATAACATATTAAGGCTTGTACACTGTGAACTAAACAAGCAGCTAACCACTGCACTATTGTTCATGAAATCTAGACGGAACATTAAGGTTGTGTCATGTTTGAAGACTGAGTCTCCTTTCTGTTAACTTTACTTTAAAATAATTTAGGAATGTAAGACAACTTACCGTCTCTCCTGATACGTCAATGATTTCCACTTCAAGCGGGGTGTTGTTGACTGTAACAGTCTGGCGGTACAGCAGATCTGTAACAACAGAAACCCTTTGCTATATTTTCCATTCAAATTAGCACCTTAAGTGAAATACAATAAAGAACATTGGTGTCTGTCTGGAGTTCAGATGTTTTCCGAATGCGATATGTTTTATTTTTCCTACTGTGTTGACATTAAAGTTAATTTATTACTAATACAAATCAGTTATTTGTATTTTGATGTTTCGGATAGGCTTTTAGACCTTTATTACGACTATATTTCAGTAATGGGCCAAATTCGAGTTGAGCTTCATGCAAAATACGAACTGACAGACAGAGAACAATATGGAATATACAAGATAACGTTTGGTCCATATTTTGTCGAAATCTCTTGAACAAGTTAGGAGGTGAAACATACGGACGGAAGGAGACGACTACTACGTTGTGCTTGCATTTCACGCAAAACTAACGTTATTATTGTTATTAATTATACATTGACTTAAACAGTGTACAAGATCAAATCCATTTTTGCGCCTTCCGTTGACAGGCTGGTGTTTAACAAGTCATGGGATCAGATTACAAAGATGGGCACTTATTCTTTGAACAAATATCGCTTGACGTAAATGCATTAATCACTTCTTTTAATTGCACGTAAAACTCCATTAGTGAGACAAGTGAGTAAAACAACACCGAAGTAAATAATGTGCTGGACATTTATGAAGAAAATTTAATGAAGTGTTGTAAACTTTTTATGGTCTGTGTTTACTGAATGAAATGATTTCTGAGTAAGGTAATTACCAGCCAGTTCTTGAATTATTTTTTTATTCCGAAGGAAAACTTTAGTATAAAACAAAATTCTTCACTGAATTTTGATAAACAGACAAAGAAACGTTTCGTTGGCTATTTCTATGCAAAATACAGTTGCGTTAAAATTCAGTTAGCACATTTAAGCTGAGGTTAGATCTGCACTAATGGGAGGTTACATTTATGGGGGGGGGGGGGGGGGTAATTCGCAAGTTTTGAACTTTACTTCGAACCCCGGAAGCGATGAAGTCATTAACCCGTCACAATGTGATAAACCCCCGCCTCTGTGTTCTTGGTCCTAAGGTGCAGAAGATTTGCTTCAGTGCCTGGAAGTAACTTCACGGTGAGTTGGAAGTTCACAGTGGTAAATAGAAGTTGCTTATCTTCTCCTCTGACACTGAATGCGAACATTCTGGAGGCTTTTAGATGTGTGGGACGTAGAAGGGAAATTAAAGGCGTTATGCCGTTGGTATGCACTGTAACCAATTTCCGTCGAGATAAGTTTATGTTGATAATAATTAAAGGGGCCAATGCTAAAACAAACAAACGTGATAGCCTATATTTCACGAACGGTAATCATGGTCTAATGTTTATAACTTCCCATGAATTTCAACATTTAGGCCTAACAGAATTCGTAAATCATATTTGGTTCCGCATTACTTTTAAGAAATAGCTACATACCAGGAGCCTTTTCTTGTTAGTGTCTGAACGCTCGTCAGTATGCACAGAGATTTTTTGGAATGCTGAACGTGGTATAGTAACATCAAAGTTGGTTATTCTGGTTGGTTTTATGATAGATGCCACCTGTCATCCTGTCATTATGCATGAATTGTTAGTTTCTGCAGTAAATAATGTTTTACCTAACTCCGTGGAACAGAGATCTTCTTGAAGATACAATAGCCACTCAGGTAATCAAGACATATCCCGCTTATTATGGAACTCGAAGGTTCATTGCCGTCTTCACGCGACCCCGAAACTGGTCTCTGTCCAGATTAACCCAATTCAAATCGTCACACTTTATTTCTTTAGAACCCATTTTGATATTACACCCATATAAATCTAGGATTTACGTTAGGCTGACTACAAAAATTTTGTATGAATTTGACACTACACGCTCCATTCTATCTAACCTTCCTTCATTTGATGCCTTAAATAATCAACTAATACACCAACACATAGTTTAGTGTACTCAACATTGACGCAGTCTTTACAGTAGGCATATTAAATACCTCACAAGCTTTCTACAAACAAGTCCGGGTCATGATAAGCACATTAGAACAACATTACACAAATCAGCTCAATTTAGATTTCGTCAGTATTATTATAGACTGTTTGCATTAAAATAACTGACAGTGAAAGCATCATCCCCTAGAATGTATTTTCAGACAGTCCTTAATTATGCCTATAATATATTTAGAAAAGTCTTTTTTTAAATAACATCGTTAACTCACTAAAAAAATAATTTTGTTTCTACATTTCACACTAGAAGAAAACTTCAGTTTGAAGACTACCAAGCTCTGATCCTAAGTTCAATTTATGTAACCCCTACAGATAGATCTCGTGCCTCACAGAATAGTTGCACACTGGTTGAACTAATTTTAGAATAATTTCTCTTTTTCTCTTTCGGCTGTTTCTGTGCCCTCCTGTCGTTGCATTGCCTGCCAGAAATCGTTGGCGCCAGAAATCGAGTCAAGGAACACCATAATATCAGCATCTAGGCACCAGCTGAATGTATTACCTTGTATTCAGCATGTACCATGTGTCGAAATTAATAAGGCACCCACACATGCCAACCGTGTAGCAGTAATTAAAATAATTTAAAGAAAAGTAGCGTGATATATGGTTCCAGGAAGCGAATAAGGGTCTAGTACATAGACGACACATGCGAAATCTGATTTCAACTTCATAAAATACATTTAAAGGGACTGACATAATGTGGTGCTGGGAAGATGACATAAACACACCTATCAGTAAGCTAATGCGCACAGTTGTAACAAACTTCGCTTCACTTCGCACGATTTTGAGATTTAATATTCTGACTGCAGTGAATGTTTAAATTATGGTCTTCTCATTTGTGATTCTGTATAATCATGAAGTTGGAGGCGATATGTTCCTCAGAAAGGTTAGTAACCACCTACAAGACTACGCAGCATCACATCCCATAACATCGCAATTTGCATGAATTTGCTTCTTCGCGAATGACTACAGGGTTATCTTATTTTTGTAATCGAAACAAAGATGAGATTGGGGGGCGCACATAAAACTCACGAAAGAGATGAGAGATAGCCACAAAATTTTATCGACAAAATAATAAAGAGATTTTACAAATATCTAACTGACGACAGTGTCCAAGGGCGGGCTCTTGTGAACACGGTAATGAAGTTACGGATTGTACAAAAGGAGAATAATTTCTTGACAGACTGGCAAGACTACTTTCTGCGGTGTAGCGAGTAATTGCACTCAATTATAAATAAAAGAAATACTTGTATATTCTTAAATTACTTGAGGGAGGAACTAAGATCCTCGCTCGACACAATACGCTGTCCCCTTCTCTTTCGTATCTTATTACCACCTGGCGTTTGTTTCCACTCAGCAGGAGGTCCTAAATGTGGTCTCTTTGGGCCCAGTAAAATAAATATAGACGCGTTATGGATGAGTCCATCTGGCCGTCCCTGCTCCTGTCTGTACGGCGGCCAGCTTAAAATATTTGGCTCGGTTTTCATATCTCCAACAATGAGATAAAACAATACAAATTGTAATCTCTCCAAGAAACGAATGCACCCCAAGCTCCATCATTGTTTCATATTCATTTTGTTCTGCGAAATTTTGGTTTGGTGTGAAGACAGGAGATTGGTATTCACTGGGAAAATCAAGGAGACGCTAAATAACTTTCTTGCGGTGTAAACTCACTTGCAAATTGTTCCTTCCATTAGTATGTTCAAGTAATTTATTGGGAGTTTATTAGGTATCATTTTTTCGACTTTACTCTGTGTGGTAATTACTTTTCCGGGCATTAAATACGAAATTTAATCAAAATCAATAGGTCGGCGTGTTGTTACATGCCTGACATAATAATAATAATGAGATCGATAATTAAGATGGTAATAATAGTAATATTAAATTTGATTACGTCATTTGCATTGAATTCAGGAAAATATTTTGTTGGTAATTAATATATTATTATTATTATTATTATTATTATTATTATTGTTGTGTATGTTACTCCAGTAATCATGTGTTTACTTTCATTCGTCATAAAGCGCTCTGTAAGACACCTTAATAACACGCATGCATCCCGAAAAGAGTAATCCATTCCTTAGAGTTTAATTACCAATGAATATTATATCCAATTTTGTAACATACGGGTTTCTGCAAATTAATGACGTCATTAAACACTGTTTTGATGTACTGAGATATATGTAGGTAATTATAAGAAGAAATCTTGATTTGTTGTCGGGTACTATTCCATATCTTTCTCTTCAATTTCCAACACCTTTAGATTCGAGAATATGAGCGAAGAATTCAGTGGAATGGAACTTATTTTACCAAGTACGTAAGTTCCTGCGTTTGGAACCTTTCCCTTTAATAAGACCAAGCTATAGCAACCATCGTATTGGAAACTTACCTCGCAATTTATAACACCAAGCACTCGTAATTTATTGTAACACGAAGGTGGAACACCTCAGCTTTGAATTAAATTGCTTGAAATGCTAACTAAACGTCTTCCACCCTTCCTTTGCGTGTACCATGCAGTCTGTCACTCCGACACTCTTAAATGAGTGTTTTAAGACGGCCGACTGAGAAGTAGGTCAGACGAGAATGGTTCTCCTAAATTGTGAACTAATAATGAAACTTCCCGCGAGTCGTACGCTGCATATTGCCCGTGTATTGACGCTAGAAGCTTCGTGAGTTTCTTTTCGCGATATTTGTTTGTGGCGAAAGGTAACGGATGTCAGTACTCACGTTAAGAAGGGCGTACGAGATCAGTAGGGAGAATTATGTATTTGTTTCTAACAGCATCTCTATCTGAAATACAGTCTGAGCCTCCTGTGGGGCAAGCAAGGCACCACAGACTGTCCTTTCCACCCAGAGATGTGTGTCTGCAGAATTGACATCTCAAAATGAAATTCTTGTTTTCAGGTTGTGGGCATATTTCTCGCATTACGAAGCCAAACACGACTTTTTGTTTATGTTAAATATCCAAGACATCCTACATTAGCACATAAATTAAATAACGGGTTTTATGTTATAAACGGTTGTAATGAGTAAAGTTAAGAATAATATCGACCTGAATTTTCCCCGGTTTGGATTATGGGTTATCAATATTTCTCAAAATTTTAAACAATTTTTTTTTCTTCAAAACTCATAAATTTTATGACATAATTTCTACCCCTACATTATACAATTATGTAAGACGTTGCGAATCGAAAGAGACACGTCAGCTATACGGATTTCCTGCTAAACGTTAGTTAAACAAATAAGATGCCATGTTGTGATTATGCTGACAAGAAACAGCCATAATGGAAGATTTCATGTGTTTAAAGTAACTATAATATGTCAGCATTTACTTACATAGTGAATTTTATGTGGATTCTGTTTAGAACGAAATCTGTATTTAATTAGAGTTGGTTGGTGTAGGTCTTAGTTCAGATCTAGTTCCCGGAGAAAATGAAGGGTGCATATGGAAACAAAACATTAAATTTTCTATCTAGTAAGTGATCATTTCTCAACTGCCTGCTAGGATAAGTTTTAACATGGCTTCTTGAATGCTATTATTGTTTTATCTTCTGTTTCCCTAATTTATAAACAAGATTGTTCAGTCTTCAAGTTATAGATAGAGAAATTAACACGCTTACTAGAGTGTTTTACTGAAAACATAGGCTATTTCAGATTAGCATATACTTAAATAATAGAATTGGAGTCGTTTATAGAAAATACTCGGAGTGCCCATCAAAATACAGGAAAAATAATTAATGAATGCTGATATGGAAACGAAATTAATCGAAGGAATGGCATAGAACTTTGTTTTATCTGTACCATATGACAGCCCTTACACTTCTAGGTCTCTCACTAAGCGTCATCGAGTTGTATTGTGAAAATAATAGCCAGGTATTGCATACTTAAACGCAGGAAGTCGTAAGGGAAGACAGACTTGTACTGAGCTCCAAGTTCATGAATGTCGATTCAAAAAGGCAGTTCTCTGTGTGGCGATAGTCACTGATGTGTTCAGTTTGCATGAAGCCAACGGGTTTGTTAAGCAGTAACAGGAGATGGCCCGTTGAGAAGTTACAGTTTTCCAAGGGAGGTCACCAATTCCTCTCTAAGTAATGAAACGTTTTACGCTCTTATAATTGTAGAACGAGGCACGGAGGACGAGTCTATCGAGAACTAGATGTGTCCAGTCGATTTACCTTAAGAGAATTCATTATTCCTGTTTTATTTTTAGAACTTAACACCAGTTTAGGGTTTAAGCTATTTGTGAGCCTCGTATTAATGCTGAATTATAGCTTATGCTGTTATTTTGGGCACACAAGCGCCGACAATTTTATTATCTGTTAAGTAGTAATAGACTTTTTATTCATATATTTTTTTCTGTATTATTCATCTGTGTAGTTCTTTTCAATCACGCAGTAGTTAGTACAGACATGTTTCGTGAATAATGTAATAATGATTATTAAATTGGGTAAGATTTGCACTTATTCCGTTCTTGGTTGTCCTATTTTCTGTATCAGTAGCCAATTAAATTCCCTTTGCAGGTTCAAAAATAAAGCTAACAGAGGGATAACTCCGAAGATATCTTGCCTAACATCAATGCATTTTTATGTATTCCTCAGACTGAAAATGAAGATAAAGAAAATCTTTGTTAATCACTAACAAGAAGCATTTATAATGATTACGTTTTCATTATATGTGTATCACATTCTCAATAGAATTGGCTAAATGTTTATACATTTTGTCAATCTCCCTGCCAAATTCTCATGTTTATAAAAATGACGTCTGCTTACCTAACATGTGGTTTTCTGCCTGACGTCATTAAAATTGCGTGGGTTGTACATTCACCAGAAATAGTTCTAGCTTAAGATCAGTGCAAATGCGAGACTTTAAGCAATTGCCATGGAATTTGTTATAAATAGCTTTAACGGTGGCTTAAAAGGGATGTGTATGGTCTCACTGGATCAGCGGAAGTCGACTTCGAGTTTTAGGAAACCAGGAAGTTGTTTCATTATTATTTTTACAAGCGCTCGCGTTTTAATCCTATCCTGCGCTGCTTAAATCCAGTCACACTTTTCACACCGTCCTTTTAATATACATTTTAATATTATCCTCCCATCTACACTTAGGTTTCAGAAGTGGTCATTTTCTTTCAGCTTTTATTACTGAATTGTGTATGTACTTCCTTGATTTGTGTAATAACTTCATATTTGGCCAAGAACATAGATTGTGAATGTCTTAATTGTTTTCGGAAACATCCATAGCCTTGATATCTTTATAAAACAAAGCCTTTATCAGGGGCTTCTAGAAATGTGGTACCTAATGGCAAGGGTCTTAAACAGAATCTTTCTGAAGTGCTGTTACAATCTGTTGCGTTGCTATGTGTGTTATTATGCCCTCTGTTTGTAGATGACATAGAAGTTAACGTTTCCAAATCAGAATGAACAGTGTTCTTACCTGTGTTTGAACGGTATTCGCCAATGAACCTTCGCGTGAGGTATCGGACCGTCAGAGCTGTAAACACAGAGAATAGAAATAAACGGGAGGCCACATGTTAAATGAAGGAAGTTCACATATAAGACAAGGAAAACCAACCTCAATGAGTCATTCTCTCGTTGCTCATCGATGTTGTTATGTTTCTATTCACTACAATGCGTTATATGGAAAGGCTAGTGATGCTGGAATGATTACATTGCGTTTGCTATAAAATTTAAGGAGGAATTCATCACAGGCTTTTATGACCACAAAGCTCCACAGTTTTATATGTATTTAGCGACGTTTCAGAGGTGCTTGCTGACACAATCATCAGGGCGATGATGATGTAGGCAAAACGCACGTATTAAACGTTGATAAACCTCTATCAAACTCCACAGCGCAACATTCCATAAGACATTTTCATACTAGCAGCCATGAGAACCTAAAATCTGACCTGAATTTAATAATTTGCTTAAAATTATATTTTAAATGTCACTTCCTAGGAGCAAGTCATCACAGTTACATTTATTTTTACTTCAAAAAGGTATACAGTATGTCTAAAAATATTGTATTCGTGTACACGTATTTGTCACACATGAGAGAAAGAAATCAAATTACAGAATATAGGAATAAATGGTATAAAATATATAATTTACTTTCAGTATAAGTTATCTCGTTGCATGCAGGAAGTAAATAAAATAGTTATTACATAGATTTTACATTATGTTGACAGGAGCACCAGCCTTATTACAGATATTGTTGGGAAAATAGTTTTTCAGTTGACTACTGAACCCAGACGCTTTGAAATGTGGTTTTAGGCAGGACACTACCGCATATTTAATTATTATTCAGAAACTTATCTATTTATGGTTTAATGATACTGTCAGTATTTCAGACAACATGACTACATAGCATCGGTTGACAGTACTCCCCCTTGTTAGTATAACGATGGTTCTGTGGTATGCAAGGAGGTGGATTCTAAGAATTTGACGAGATTGTAGGATGATTCAAACCGTGTGGCTTATTCCGAGGTCATCCTGCGCGGTTTTATTATGCACCTCAGGCGATTAACGATGTTTGCAAGAATCTGGTATGTTGCAGATTTAGATATGCGGGCGCATGTTTTCCAGCAAGGCAAAGCATTATAACATGTTTTTTTCATTAAATGCACAGGGACTTTATAAACCTTTAGCTCTGGCAAACTGTTTTAACCCCAAGACAGATAAATGTGCCATTTTGTCAACAAGTCGATGACGGGAGCGTGTATTAATATACAATATACCAAGGTTACATATAATTATGTAGTTCCATATTCACCAGTTACGCCTAAAGTGAGGTCTATCTAGATGTACATTTTAACCAGGCCTGACTATCTAACTGGATTCTTGGAGAAGATTCATTTTTGGAAGCCAATGTCCGTTCGGTACCGTGTTCCTGAGCCAGATGAATCCAGTCTACACTCTGTTAAATCTTATTTCCCTACCCATTTTAATATTATCCTCCAATATACCCCTAGTTCTGCCAAATATTATCTTCCCTTCAGAATTTACTACTACTTTTTTCCAATAATTCCTCATCGCTCCCATGCGTGTTGTATATCCCGTCTACCTCATATTCCTCCTCGATTTGATCACCCTAATATTTGGTGACGAGTTCAAATTGTGAGGCTCTTCATTGCCTAAATTTCTCCATCTCCCAATCATTTCCTCCGTCTAAAAACCAAATGCTTTTCTCAGCACTTCGTTTTCAGACACCATCAATCTGTGGTCCAGAGGCAAGGTTTCCAAATGGAATTGCTTATTGATCTCAGTTCATGTAAGTTGGATTACGGGCTAGCGTAGGCGAATGAACTTCATTAACAATATCACGTGCCTTTATATTTTTGTACCCGCCACCCTGATACTACAGTACCAATTTTATACTTTTAGTATAAAATGCTCTCTATTATTCGTTAGCCAGCTTCACTCATAACAGATTCTGCGTCTTTAATCCCTGGAACTTTCAGCACTTAACCGGAACTAAGTTTCTGTTATAATATACAAACCTCGTTTGTATTCAGGCATCTTTATCGAGATGTTTTTAAAACAAGTGCATGTATCGTGTTTTCTGTTCTGGTGGATAATCTCTCTTTTGAACAACACGCAGTTTTTAAATTAAACAAAGTCCGTATTTTTATAACAGAAAAGGGCAATAGACCCAAGGTCTCCTTCTCGGTGCAAACATAATGCATTCTTTATTCGTTTTTATTCGTTCTGTCCAAGAGAGGGCACTGACATTTGCATGTTCGTAATGTTTACTTTGTAAGATTTGAGGTTTTCACAGCGGTGAGTATGAATATTCATCGCCCTGATGACGGAGGCGGTATGACCTCTGAAACGTTGGTTAACATCGACCAGACTACACAGCGCAACAACCCAGAAGACAGAAATCTTTAATGTTTACTTTGTGTGTGGCGACACACTTCCGTAGCAACCGCTAACGAGATGTGTCTAGGTACATACCTGATTTTCCGACGTTAATCTTTCCCAGAACGGCAATGCGTATTCTAGGCATGTTTGTCTTTTCTTCCGTCTTCATATTTTCGCAGGACCGCTGAAAATAAATAAAAATATATTGTACTTCATTGACCGACTCCTGAGTCTTGGTGATATAGGTGGAAGGGTATGAACTCGTGATGGCCACTGTATTTTTTGACTATGAAAATATAGTTTATGTAGCTTCGACGTGTGGTTTTACGTTCAGGTTAAACAGTTTGGATGTAAGAAAAACGTCAGTGAGCGATTTAAAGCTATGTTATGTTCGTAATGTTGTTCAGAGTGAGTGAATTATATATACGTGGCCTTTGTTTCTATTCATGTGCGCCTTCAAAGAAATGAACGGAGTTGAGATGTGAGTCATGCCTTTTATTCTCAACAAGCTTATAACACCTGTTACAAGTGCGCAAATTTTAAGTTTTTCATGGCGCACAATAATATTTCTGCCGTTACACAGGAGGCAAAGTTTTCACTTTATCGAAAATATAATTTGCGTGGGAAGTAGATTCTGCTTTCCGTAATGTACAGCTGTCAGTCAAATAAACTTATTATTTGAACCTTTTTTAAATGTGCCAGAAAATAGTATTTTTTAATGTTCATACCAGTGACTGGAGCTACGTATTATTTATTTACTTTTCCTTCCTCGTATCATTTAATTTCGACCACCAATAATAAAACAGAAATTACCAATGGAATACACGTGTTCCTTACACAAGCAGTTAATTCCAACTTGCAGCCTGTCAAGTCTGTGAACGACATATGTATTTTGCCGGCTAGAATTACCGACGCTTATAGTTTATTAAGATTTATTCATTTACCACTTGTTGATTTGTTGATATAAAACCATTTACTAAAGTCACCAAGAAATCAGTTATCACATGTAGCTTGAAATAAGAAACTAGTTTTATTAACATGTTTCGCTTATGTTTGGTTTTTGTTGATAGATGTTCACCCACCAAGTGTTGTAAAAATAATTGCTTTCGCGAACGAATTGTGTGTATTCCCAGTGCTTCGGGAATTTAAGCTCAATACTTATTTATAAATTTTCATTTTGTAAAACTGCAATGTATGTAAATATGCCAATTAAACTTAACGCAAATAATTACACGTTATTAATTTTGTTTTTAGCGTAAACTAAGTTTTCTGTCGTTAGGAAATATAATAAGGAAACAGAGTACTATGCTTGTGTGTCAGTGTGAACTTAAAAGTCGCTAGATATATAGAATATTATATACTTTCTTAATTGATTTCTGCGTATATTGTATATTCATATATCTATTGATATTGATACCTAGTTGTGCTAGCGCCTTTAAGATTCTAAAGGATTCTGGAACACTATTATAAGTCAGTGATAACTTCATATGCAACTTTACCTTTCACAAGTAATGTTTGTCATCAGAATAAGCGCTGGGTGTAACGTACGTACATTTGTATCTTCCAGAAATAGGTCTGTATATACATAACACCGCTAATCGATTATGTCGTCTGCTGTGAAATACGTCAAAATTAACCTTTCTCACAAAACACAGATATTTTGAACGGTAAGACACATCGCGAAGACCTTCAGGTGTTTCGGCACGTGCACCGATGTAGAAATGCTTTAGAGTGGCAATAAGTTTGCCTTAGTGTAAAGCAAAACGTAATATTAGACTAGAATACCGATTTGACATTTAAAGTTACTGTCACGTGTTAAGCGAACTAGTTAACGTATAATTCTATGAGTTCTTATAGACTTTGTTGGTTTGTTGGGGAAATATTAAACGGGGGAAATTTGGTATCGCGACTTATTAAAGAGAAGTTTGATGTCTGTGAGAGTAACTAGAAGGAAGGAAATGGATTGTCGTGTGCACGGAAACCAAAAAGTATCTCTGACGTGTCCTAGTTTAAATTACTCGTAGAACTAGTTACGTAGATGATTTCTCGTGCACCTCGAAATTTAACGAACACTACACATTCGCAATTTTATATTCTTTGAGACTGTAAAATTTTAAGATCATGTCTGGAGGCGGAAGATGTCAAACACATGGTCTTTCTAATTACTAAACTTCTTAAGAACAAAAGAATGGAGGGAGAGATTTTTATGTAATAAATGTTTCAGTGTAAATGAAGTTATAAATTGTGTTGGGCCTGAAGACAACTGTTTTCTGGGATGTTACATGATGAAGTCTTATACACATTTGCCGACGTTTCAGAGGTGTTTGTTGCCTTCTTTATGACTTATAGGCCTACTGAACGATGTATAATTTACAGCGTTACACCTAAATGGGTGATTAACACTTGTATGATGCAATAAGAAGTCGAGGGTAAGACACAAGAGAATTCTATATTTGTATATAGCATTAATTTAGAGCTAATGGAAATAAGTATGGAGGAATTTTCGACCGCAAGAACACGGTGTTAAGTTGATACAGCTTTGTGTGTAAGGGAATATAACGTTATAATTATTTGTCGGGGGAAGTCTGTTCGCTTGTCGAACATTACAAATATCCACATGTAACTTTTTCAGCTGCACTAGGAGAAGACTGAAAAAACGATTCACTGTTTTTGCTGATGATAACTTATCCGAATGTGTTAACAGCCCCGAATTTTAAAGCACGTGAACTGTAGTTGACTCTTATTTGGTTCACTTATTTTACAAAATCTAGCGAATTGTTTAAATTTTAAAGACAACAAGTTAATTTCTGATAAAGACAATATCTAGATATTCGGCCATCAGCAGCTAGCAAATATGTATTCTGTGTGAAGGTCATCGAACCCATGAATTAGAAGATAAGCACTCGCTAGCTGTAAAACCAGATTTAGTCTGTTAAGTGCCATTTGGCAGCCCGGTTTAATGACATTGGTTTTACTTTATGGGGCATGTTGCTTTACTGCAGCGTATGCTACTTCAGGTTTATTGCTTGATTTGTGATTGCATTGTGCTGAAGAAGTCACCTCAAATGAAGGTCTCCGAAGCCGGGTCTGAACCTTTAACTACTACAAAAATACCTGAGAAATTCTTTATTGATAACTGAAACTATTAATTTAATTAGTACATGATTTCATATGACGTGTTAGTACGAGACAGAACTCATTGTCTTATGCCTCTCCTAAACAAAGACTATCATCTAATGAAGTTTTAGTTATACTACCAAGCAATTTTATCGAGGTTACTTTTTCCCTGTTTCAACTTTGTGGTTGCACACAGAAGGAAAGACGCTCAAGTCAGAAGTATTTTATGTGATAAACCAACAGCCACAATATAAACGTAATTTAAGCTACTGTGGTACTGCAATTAGCATTAAATAAAATATCCACGCTGAACATTTTAACTTTTTTAACCTGAAACTTCTTAGAACAAGTCTGAAATATACACAATTTCACACATACAGGAAATCTAACTTATTACTTCATCATATGGCAGCCGAGATAATTGTTAGTATTGATATTATTGTACTGTTTATCGCAATTTTAATTCTTATGTTTTCCTGTCCATAAATACAATCCGTCGTCTTTATTTTTCTGTTGAATTTATTATTCATATTTACGTGTTAATTTATTCAGTTTATGAGATGATATCTATAAATTCATCCCCTGAATACATGACGTTACTTCTTGGTCGACTGAAGAGAGACGTGTGTTTGAACATATGTTTATTGATATTTTTATTCCTTTTAATTTCATTTCCGTTCTGTGTAATATTTAAACAAAATACATATTAAATAATGTTGGCAATATTGCGGTTCCTTGATTTCAACGGTTGATGGGCGTGGGCACAGATAATTTTGAATTAAATTCTTATTTTCTTTTCTTAGTATTATATATTTATTATTGCTTGCAGTGTCAATGTGTGTCTCAGTTTACAGTTCGATGCTTTCTAGTAATTAAAAAGTGTATTTAAATTATGCTCGGTTCGTTTTTAATCAGTAGTTAAGACAAAATACTGAGCTAGTGAAAGAACAGTTTCTTCGAATGATATTTTGGGTTTCACATACGAATTGTTTTTAATATTTTTGCAATTTTTTTATGTATTTTGTAACACGTAACACGTAACGAACACGCACGCGCGTCATCGTCCATTCTGGTGACGGGAGTCTGGAATGTGCACGGAGCAGAAGGTCTGGTTCAGAGAAGGTTTGCGTTTTAGTAAAGTTACCAGTGAGAGAAAATTCCTAAGTGGAGACTGAATAAAGGCTGATTTATCTTCTATCATATTGGCTGCGCGCCTGACATGTGATATATTCGTTGATACATACTGAAATCCATAGCGCTCTTAAACTCAAATCAAATTCTTTGGCATTTTCGCTAAACCAGTCTTAGGCACTAACACAATTTTGGATCTTGGCTCTTACGCTTGCATCATACCCCTTTCATCAAGAAACAAGTGTCGTCAACTAGATGTTTCCATCTGGAAGCCAAGAATTTGTATCTGGGGGGGGGGAGGGGGGTTGCTGTAGCGAATGAATTAATAAAGATAAATTTAAAATGCCACTAGCAATAAACACAAATTCTGGCGCCACATAGACAGGGATAATTGATTACATCAAAATAAAATACCGAATATTTGCGAATTAACAACTTGAGGAAACTAAGTCTGTCCAGGAGGTTATAAATATTCTTAGTATGAATGAGAAAATATTGAACTAAAACTAGTAGCTTAGTTTGGTGAAGTTATAGATATAGAGTGTATAATATATCTCGAAGTGACCTCATTATTTTGAAATGTCAAGCAAGACCATTTGTGAAACGTAGCGAGAAAATATTCTTTTGTAGTTCAAGAAACGGTCAGAAATACAACTTAGTTTGAAGGTTTACTAGAATCCTTATATCTCATAAGTATTGAGTTAAATCACAATCTTTGTCGTAATTTTGTAAGTGCATGAAAGATAAAATAAACTGTGAAACATTATTTTTTCCTACAATTAAATTTTATGAATTGCAGCATAATTATTGTTGTATTATCCGTAGCGAAATACGATTTAAACTGTCGAACTGCGTATTTATGGAATGTATACCCTTTTCTGCACGAAAATGTCAATGAAATCGTTTTCAAGCATTTGACATTTCTGTGAACAGCTTCTTCAGTAAGCACTGTTGACACGCCTGGCTGATATTTTGAATCCCAGGTTTCTTTTTCAATGGAGTACGGTGAATGAGATTTTACAAGAATGTGTAAATGCGTTACACAGAAGAAAGTCTGATTGTGTGTGCCATTATTATGTTAATTTTTACATGATCGGATCAGTTACAGTTATAATAAAACATGTATTTGCAATAAATAAAGAATGTCATATGTATAAGAAAATGCTTGACAGAAAATTATTGGAATTTGATAGAAGTTCTATAAACTATAAAAGGGTAACTTTCTAGTTGCGTCTCTTACGGTCTACACACACAACATGTATCACTTATATACATTAGAAGCAAAAAATTTGAATAAATTTGAAGAATAAATTTAAAAGTCGGATAATGTATTTAACCTGTAATACAACTGCACTAGAAAACAGTGTCTGTATTCACTAGTCGGTCGTTTTCACTATATGCCAGGTGATTTAAAATAGATATGAAAATATATTGAATCAACTGCATTAGTGGTTTCTGGCATTAACAAAAATTTAGGAAATTGGCTGCAGATTCTCTATAAAACAATATTTACAGCTCAAAATAGTGGTTCATGAGTATATAAAACTCGACGTAAATATAAATGAGGTATATGAAAGCAAGCAACATTTGTATACTTATATTTACAAACACTCACGTGTTAATTGTATTTCTATTTGTAAGATAATGATAACTTTTATGCAATTACTAATTCAATTTTACTGGTGATAATATTTTTCAATTTCACACATTAATACAAATCTGTCAAAACTAGTACACCGAAACCTAGAAAGAATTTGACTATGACGTACGTAATACATTTGCGCAGACTTTAAATTTATTCCAACAAAAGCGGTTATGAAACGTTAATTAGTACCTTTGTTTTACGGTGTCAGATGTTGGCCTCTGGAAAAATCCGGTATGGCTGTTTTCAGAAGTGTGTTTCTTGACAGTGTTAACAAGACGTCTTCTGAGAGATGACGACTAGATGTGTCCACGTCTACCACTGCACTGATGTTCTACTTCCCGCACTCCCGCTCTTTATTACTTTGGGTGTCCCTCTTGTTACTATAGCGACGGTATTGGGGGTGAATAGGACGGTACTAGCGTCGCGACGGCGCAAACGTGTGGCACGTGGCGCTCACAGCGGCTTGTCGGAGAAAACCAAAAGGCCGAGTTAGTCGATGGCCATGGGGGGCCCAGTCAGTCAGTATCAAGCAGCGTGGGCACATGGCAAGTCAACAACATGATGTTGTGGCCTTACTCAGGGGTGACGGATTGGAATTAACGGCGGAAACTATCTTCTGAAATTCCAGCGTGGTCTTTCCTTTGGCCAGAGTATTTTGCCCACATCGCCTTGCCTCGGCTCATTCACACTAGTCTTGTGACGAAAGTACAATGCGATTCCAGCTAATTTATTTCATTTTCCTGGACTTCAATCATGATGTAATTTATTTGTCCTTCTTGATTTGTTCGCGTGTTACTAATCGATTATATATACAAAGGACACGAGTATATTTCCGCATGTCAGAAATTATCTGAAGGACGTAGACACGAGGTAGACTATCTGTGTGCTTGATTCTATTATATTATAAACGCATTCTCCTAATCAGCGAACTTTTATACGTTGATCATAAACCACGAGGATTTACATTCTTGTTTCAATTAATCTGAGTAACCACATATATCTTACACTTATTAAGAACTTATGAGCTGATTAAATTCAGGGAATACGTGCTGTTATTGAGAGTATTTTATCCACTCGTTTCCTGAATAAATTTTTAAATACGTGAGATTTAATATTTTGACGGCAGTGAGGATAATGTTGTGATCTGCGTTTCTTGAATAAACAAAATTAAATTTATTTATTATTTAATACTAGCAGAGTACTCGCAATGTTACTGCGGCGAAATTCGACAAATGCATACATTTCCTATCAATCTGTATTTTCCTCAAGCCTATGCCTTCAATATATACCGTAGATATTACAGGAATAATTATTACCCTTGAACCCAACATCTTCACCGGGACTCAAACTCAGGACATTATCAGGGTTTATGACGTTTTGTCTTGTAATTTCCCCTCCGAAACAAATAATGTTTGCTTAGGCTTCATTTTTATGCTTAGTTCCTGAGCTACAAAAGCATTCTCACCGACACTCGAACCCAGGACAATGTTTAGAAGTCGTGACCTTGATTCATGTACTGTACCAGACGAAACAGACAACTTTCGTCCTAGCGCCGTCTTTTAAGTTTCGACTTAGTTTCCGAGCTATATAAACCACCCTCATCGGGACCCAAACTTTTTAGAGATTCGTGTCTCTGAAATTTCTTCCTGGATTTGAGAAATAAGCGTACCAAATTTGGAACAGTTTAGCTTATCCGTTTTCGAGCTATAAACTAAACATACACATCCACAATTGCTGATATGTGCGAAAATTGGCCTCATCCTAAGATAAATATATCGTTCAGTCGATAAGCTAATCAAACCATTGAGATTATTCATAAATTTTAAGTCGGATGATATATCTATTAACCACCTGAAATACGTGATCTTCTTTATCAATTAATTTTAGTAATTCACGTTGCTTAAATGCTTCAGGATAAGACAATTTGTTTATTTCCGGAAGTAAATCAGAATTATATTCAAGTGTTTTAAAAGGAGGTACTGTTTTGTGACCACTTGTGTTTGCTACTAACGATGTGACTGTGAACGAAATAACTGAATACTTCTGTGTTTTGTGGTTCATAGATTCCAGTTCCAGGAATTGATACTATCACATTCCGTTAAAAATCCCTCTCATGCTGTCAATCAGGATATCCTAATTTCTAAATCGACTATTATTATTATTTAGTGTTCTGTCTGACGACAGGTCCATATGAACAGGATCCTTCCATCCTTTTCTCGGACTGGGACCTGTTCATATACGTTCTTGGCAGATGATCCAGAAGTGGTTTGCCATTGCCTTCTTCTGTGTGTGAATGGAGTAATTGTTGGGATGCCACGGAGAAACCGGGGAAGAAGCCCCCGGAGGAAAACTCCGTGTTGCCTAGACCACGGCCTTGCCCAACACAAGTTATAAATTCGGGCACCGCCGGGAAACTATATCGACTAATAAAACACCACAAAAATCTACGAATTAATAATTATTCTGACGTCTCGTTCGACGCTACTTAGAATTAGCTTTGTTACGTTTACCCAAAAGTAACTCACACACGATCGAAAAGCCACAGAACCAGTGCGTTTCACCACGTGTATGACCGTAAGGAATAAGGCCGGCTGACGCCAAATTCGACGCCCGAAACTCCTCTTTTCCTTCATCAACTTTACACCCGTTGTACCGCATCATCTCCCTCCCACCTCCAACGCCAACGCGTTGTCCAGAAAAGGCTCTCAAACCCAATGTCAGCACTTACCCTCTTGACTGGAGAATGAAACTACAGTACATTTTGGTGTTCACATCTAGAACGCGTGGGACTCAGTACGTATTCGTAATGTGGCTCTTCACTTCTCATAAAGAATATACTAACTGCGAGATTTTTATCCACGGAATTTATTAGTCGTCAGGTCAGCCAATTCCGTCCGAAATTCCCAATCGCAAGTCAGATGTGATAATGCGAATTCATAACCGTTTTTGTATACATCATTTTGTTTACATTATCACCTAAGATACGCGATGTTTTCTTAAACATACTATTCCATAGGATATCAACCGGGAAACTTGCAGGTAAGCAAGAATATCGTAAGGACTCCCATAGAAGAATAATTAAAAATCTGTGGTCATTCTGAAAAGTTCGCCACATAAACTAATGGTATAGCGTGTTCCTATTTCTAGCCTAAACCTGACTGGTCGAATGTTAATGACCGAAATGATTTGTTTAGGCCAAGACTGACGTCATTTCAAGTGCCTTCATTTCGATTAACGCTTTAAGCGCAGAGTCTAGTAATAATAATAATAACAACAATAAAAATAATAATAATTTGGATGCTATGTACTGGTCTCTGTCCTTCAGACACACGAGTGTATCATTAAAATAATTACTGTAATAATGAATACAGTGCGATGGCGAACAGCTCCAAAGCAGAGTTGTTCTTGCAGTTAGACAGTTCCGTTAAGGCAGGAGAATACTAAGTCCAGAAACTCTCCACTTCACAACCCGCAATAGTCAGTTACATTAACTTCTATGTAGTATTATGTTGTCTTGTGTGCATAACACATTGGCCTAATTAATTTCTCAAAAGAAAGTCTGTTCATTGACTGAAGTATCCAGAGTTGAGTCGATTTCTAGTACAGCTGTTATTTATGACAAATCTACTAGCTATGGTGAATTCGTGCGCAAGTCTGTCATGTTTGTTATTTAAACGTATTGCCATTTACTATCTCTTAAGTGTTAGCAATTTCTAGAATTAATCTGCGCGAAAGGCTGCTAATTATACATGACACTGTAAGATCGGAAAAGTGTTGGCATATTTTTAAAAATGCTTAATTTGCCGTATCATGTACCTCATTGGATGAAATGTTCATTTGTTACAAATGAATTGTTGTAGAGCTAACGAACAGCACAAACGCGGGACTTTAAAGAAACACATAATACTCCTGCATATTTTGTTAAATATATAGCATGAAGATTTCTGTCTCCTGGGTTGTTGCGCTGTGTTGCATCCGTCATCAGGTCACGATGAATCGCCCTGATAACGGAGGCAGTATGACCTCTGAAACGTTGGTTAACATCGACCAGACTACACGGCGCAACAACCCAGAAGACAGAAATCTTCATACTCACCGCTGTGAAAACCTCAAGTCTTACAAATATATAGCATACCAAAAACTGTTTTTTGTAAACGTACTGCACCGCTTAGCAGTGGCGTTTTTTACTGCACCAGTTGCTATCTGCCTCGGCTGATAACTTGCCACTGTAAAACTGGCGTGCGCTCAAGACCTTACAAAATGCTTATTTGTATTGAAATGTTTAATCGTATTTTAAAACTACATACTTCACGCAACACATACAGCCTTTTGAATCAATTTGCGTTTCGCGGCCTCTCCGGAAACGAGTTTGAAGCACCTCTAGTGTGTGTGTGTATGAAAGAAGATGATGGGCCCAAGGCATTTCGATGCGGCATTTTTAGATCATAAACACAACACTGTGGTGTGCGTGCGTGCGTGCGTTTTGGGAGGGGGCACGCGATCAAACTCTGTTCCTCCTGTGGAAGCCGCCTCTCGTCTTGTGCTCACAGATTGCTGCAATATTTACACCGGTCATATGACCTCGAAGCCCATTCCTTGAGACTTTGGCGTGTGTCCAAATGTCTGCGGGAGATGTGTATGAGAAGAGACCTCCTCACCTTCATGTTAGATCAGATGTCTCAGCAGTCAACACAAAGCACCTGCCAGAAGCTCTGTTACAGAAATGTCACAATAGCTTCTGGCATAAGGCTGCCATTTTCTTATTTTTTTATTTTTGTTTTACATTTATTTGTTCCTTTCTGTTCCTTTCCTCTTTCCTTCCACTCTTGTAGCTTCTTTTCTTGTTATCATACAAAGTTTACTGTAAACTGTGACATGCGCAAACCTTCTATTTCAAAGTGCCTCTCTGTCAAATTTAACTTTTGATTAAAGATGTTTTTGGGCTGAATCAATAGCAAAGATAATAAAGACTAAATACAAACAACATGTTTAATATTTATGATTGTTGCCAGCGTTATCAAACTTTGTAGGTAAAAAGGAACAGATTAACAGTTTCTCTCAGGAAAATATTATTTTATTCAAATACATCTTCTTCTTCTTCTTCTATGGCTCTCCGGTCCGTATTCGGTCCATGGCCTCCTCAATTCTCCTCTTCCATTCGGTCCTCTGTTAGGTCCATCTGTCCGAGGCTTTGATCGAGGTTTCGAAACATCTTCCTTTTTACGGTTCAAGGTTGTTAGTCTTTCGACCAACCCCCAACCTGGAGGACCAGGGTACCTGTCTTAGTCTGACCTCTCCCCCTCGACCAATCTGGCTAGGGAGGCCCTACCAGTAGCTATGCTACCGCCAGCATAGCTCTTGGGATCACTGAGGTACTCGAGCCCCACCACCACGACAAGGTGCAGGTACCATTAAGTGGGGTATTCAAATACATACTCACATCATTATTAAGCAGAACAAACAGAAATACTCACTGTGACAGTTGTCTATACATCGTGGACGTCAGTTTATAGTTCGACATTCATCCAACAAGTAATTTAGCTGATCCACTGATGCTGGATAAAAGAAAAAACCCTTGAAACTTTCGAAACGTCGGTCAGTTTTAACGAGAGTACTCTGCGCAACGTCCCATAAGATATTCGCCCTTATTTGAATCTTTTATTTTTGTATCGTATTTTCTGAAAAAAAAACTGTATTCCACATGTCGAATTTGGGTTTGCGGTCCACCAAATAACACATAAATGTGCGAGCAGAAGTGATGTGTTCGCGCATCTTCGCGGAAAGAATCAATAAACAGTAACACTTACTTGGACATGTTACAAAACTAAGATTATCCACTACTTTATGGGAAAAGGATCATAGGCTATAAAGATGAGACCAGCTGACTCCGGAACAGTGGCCGCTTGCGAAAACGTCGTTTTTGTTTTTAGTTCGTCTGTGTGTCGATTCCGAATTACCACTGCAAATTATGTAAATAAATTGAATACCTCTTTATCTGAAGTACGTCCTTAACTGCGGTGCCTTCATACACGTGTATTAAGAACCATGATAATAATCTATAAAATACTCTGCAGTGCTGCCAAGTACTGCAGAAACAAAATGTTCTTCCTGTGTGTTCTTCAATAAATCACACGTGAATAATATGTAGCAGTATAGCGCCTCCCACATGGAGTCAACTCTAAGATCACAGCACACGGATGTAGTCATTGACATCGTATTTATTAATTTATCCATTTCAAGCAACATTTCTTGGAAGAACGGATAATATATTGTTGAATAGAATTCCACTCTTGTGATTGATCAGCTTAGTGGCCTCAGTCATTTTTTTTCGCATGCCTAATAAATCAAAATTTGTGTCCTGTTCCAGTTATCGGGAAGCTTGACATTCTGCCGATTTCGACGCATCTGCCTTCCAGATTCCCGTACACGATAAACCCAATAATCTTTGAATTTCTAAGGATACGGTCTTCTCAGAGATCGGAGTATAAAAATTGGAAAATAAATTATATTATTCTTCACACAAACAAAATCTCAAGGAGATCTGACAAACGAAAGCAAATATGCTGTTTTGAGTTGATGAGTGCAAGCTGGTCTTTTTGAACATGAACTTTACAGCATGCGTAGAGGATACAGAAAGTTAAACGGAAGTTCCGTAGACCTACTGACGCTATAAATCTTCGACGCGTAGGACTTCCATTAACAACACAGATATCTCACGTGTCAACAGTATTTTAATGAATGCGATAACATAGAAATACAGAAGAAATTGCGATTTAACAAGTGCCATTTGTTCAGTTTTTGTTATATTGTTTTCTTTGGGTTCCGTTTATAGCTAACATCACATGTAATATATAATTAAGCTATTTCTACTTGTATCTTCCGATATCCTTATTTAAATATTTTAAAAATCTCTTTGACTAGCGTCCTACACTTTTTCGTTTACATAACCTCGTCATCCTGAATTTCTGCTCTTTGCGGAGGGCGAGAAACACAATTTTACTGTTATTAGATATTTTAACTCAATATAAGGAACTAAGACTGATACAGCTAATCGATGATCTGAAACAAGGAAAGAAGATGAAGTTACAGGAATTAAAACGAGAAGCTGAGAATAGAGCTCTTTTTGGGCAGAGCAATGGACCTGTCGTCAGACAGAACACTGAATAATAATAATAATAATAATAATAATAATAATAATAATAATAATAATAATAATAATAATAATAATAATAATAATAATAATAATAATAATAATAATAATAATAATAATAATAATAATAACAAGGAACTGGAAAATAAATTGTAACGTGAGAAATCTGAGTTGGCAACCTGACTGGAAACTGATTTTTGTCAGTTAATATCGCTACGCTCCGAAATAGTTTCTAACTTACTTCTGATTGTCTTGTGACTTATCGTGGCGGTTCCTTCTTAAACGTTCTGTATATGATGTTTTGTTTTTGCTGTTGATACAACGGATCGCGATGTTACAGCCTTAAGGAGAATACTGTAACATCTGCGAAAACAAATATCAGGTTTGTTGTGTACATCTACGAGGCTTACAGAAACTGCCTAAAGCAGATATTTCTTCAGGTTCTCAAAGAAAAGTGAAGTAAGCCATGATAGATTTATTGAACCACTGAAACAGTTAAAAGTTAGTGAACTACGGATTTTAAATACTGAATTATGTAAAATATAGTACGTTGTACAACACACTGTGAAATCTTATTAATTAGAAAACTTTCTGTAATTGGCCCCATTGATATGTGTACTGTGATCTACTTTTAAAATTAATCTTATTTTTGAAATAGCACGTGCGTTGATTTAGATTTT